GCTGAACACCTCCTGCACTTCCTCTGCCTTCTACTCACCAGGACAAGGTCCTTTTTATTTTCTTTAACCCCTGCACAGCAGTACCATTTTCCCTCATTGACACGGAATGGGTATTTCTACTTAATTTTTTTTTTTTTTACATACCTTTGCTCTAAGCCAAAGTTAATTTCTCCTTCTTTTCTCTTATTTCACCCTGATCACAACTTTCATGCTCTGCTGCACTCCGATGGTGCCGCAGCAGGAATTGTCTAGCACTTACCTAAGTAAACCACTGACAAAAATGATTTGAAGCCAGACTATTTTTGTCTGTTGACTCAAGTGCTCTGGAGTTCGGTTTTGCTGTCAGAAAGCAAAGCTGTCTGAGGGATGTTTACACAGTCACCGGGCAATTTTCAGTTTATTGGAAGGCAGAGCATTTACTTGAAGGAGCTGGGTGCTGTGATTGCTCATCCCGTGCAGTTACTAATCGCCCTGCCTGTTTGTGAGGCTGAGGCCCCACAGCAAGGATTTCAGGCCCCAAAACCATCTGGATTTAAATAAAGCAAGGTGTTAATAGGCATTTTGGCAAAGCTTATATATTTCACCTTCACCTCAGACATCAGCACTCGAAAAACACAGAACGGATCCCACCTCGTTATATAACAACAACCTGAAATAACTTTTGGGGATGTTTTTATATGAATATACATACAGGAAAGGATGTTTTTATATTAATATACATCTAGGGCAATGCATTACCATAGAAGTGCCCCACCGTCCAAGCTGGCATAAAAATCAGTCCGGATTTAAAGTTTTACCTTAAAATTTGTTTCCCATCCGGCAGGTACCATGTTATTAAAATAGTGATGTCTCTGTGGCAGGTTGGGACTTACAGAAAGTGCTGGTTGGTCTATTCGCCTCGAAGCATCCAATGTATTCTCACAGCTCCTGTAGTTCTGCAGGGACAGGCTAAAAAAAAAAAAATTAAAAAAAAGGGAAATAGTTGTTAATGCAGATTGCAAACTGTGCGGGAAAATATTGAGTTTAGTTCAGGCTGAGCCTGAATAATTTGTGTAAAATGTTTGTACTCGAAACTCCTGGTACCGGAGTGTGGGTTTTATCTCTTTTAAGTCTAGAGATGGCACAGGTTGGGATTCAAAGAGAATTTCTGAGCAATCCTGTGGAGTTTGAAATGTTTGGAAGCAGGTTTGTTTGGCTGGGCCGTTGGCAGGGTGCTTGCTGCAGCTTCATCCGTCGGGGCAGAGTCAATTAGTTAATTAGGAACAAGCTGTGTGGGATGGGCATTCCTTTGGGAATCTAAAGAAATTGTAAGATTGCCAGTTCCCGAGGGTCTTACCCAAAATTTTATGTGTAATACTCAGGTCTGGGAACCTTGAAGTTGTGTTAGTCATTTGGGATGGGATCAGCGCGTTTGGGCTTGGGGTCACCTGGAGGGAGTGGGAGCACAGACCTGATGAAGAGCAGAGGAGGGTCCTCCTGGGGGGCAGGAATGGGGCAGAGAGGATGGAAACTGGAGTTTGGGGTGAAACCAGAGCCTGGGGAGAAACCAGAGCTCGGGGAGAAAGAGGCAAGGTGAGGGGTGCTGAGGGTTTGCTCTTGTCCTTCACAGACAGTCTTTTTTCATCCTGGGCTTTGGGAAAGAAGGGGGCAAATATGCGTTTTTCTGAAGCAGAGAGTTGCCTGGTTTTAAAGCAGGGGGTTCTGAAACGCTCTGCCCTTCCCCTGCCTCCAGGGAGAACCAGCTAAAAATCAGCTGCTGCAGGGGGAAGGGTCTCACAGCCACAGCTCAGCAGCGTCAGCGGGGAGCGTTCGCTCGACAGGTCTCAGGAAATAAGCGTTTCGGATTTTCTGAAGCTGTAAAACAGCAAAATACAAAAAAAAAAAATCTGTAAGTTATTATTTCCACTTTTCAGCAACCGGTGAAAGGCATTCCTTTCTCTCTAGGGAGAAAAATGCTATTGGCATGGACGGTGCCGGCAGCAGTTTGGTTGTTGGTGCACTTCACAGCAGGTAAGAGACCTTTGGGTTTTTTTCCTACGTAGCATTTTATCACTTAGAAGAAGCACTCGGGATAATTAGTGGGGTTTTCCTCAGCGTCTGTGTGGGGTGCTAGCAGACATCTTTCTTATTAGAGAGAGGAAAATCTGACGCTCGATTGGGGTTTATGGTGTGATTTCTGTAAGAATGCCTCGATCTGCTGCCGGAGCTGAGTCTCCTGCTTGTCCCCACACCGTGGCTCTGCCCACAGCTGGGCTGGTAGCCCAGAAACCCCCCCACCCTGGGCTGCATCCCCAGCCCCGTGGCCAGCAGGGCTGGGGGGGATTCTGCCCCTCTGCTCTGCTCTGGGGAGACCTCCCCCAAACTCTGGGGCCACCACCATCAGAAGGACATGGAGCTGCTGGAGCAGGGCCAGAGGAGGCCATGGAGATGCTGGGAGGGCTGGAGCCCCTCTGCTGGGAGGACGGGCTGAGAGAGTTGGGGGGGTTCAGCCTGGAGAAGAGAAGGCTCCGGGGAGACCTTCCAGCCCCTTCCAGTCCCTCAAGAAGGGGGGCTCCAGGAAAGCTGGGGAGGGACTCTGGATGAGGGAGGGGAGCCCTAGGAGGAGGGGGAAGGGTTGGACCCGGAAAGAGGGGAGATGGAGCTGAGCTGTGGGGAAGAACTTGTTTGGTGGGAGGGTGGTGAGAGCCTGGCCCGGGTTGGCCAGAGAAGCTGTGGCTGCCCCATCCCTGGGGGGGTTCAAGGGCAGGTTGGAGGGGGCTTGGAGCAACCTGGTGTGGTGGGAGGTGTCCCTGCCCAGGGCAGGGGGTGGCACTGGGGGGGCTTTAAGGTCCCTTCCCACCCAAACCATTCTGTGATTCTACAATTCTCTGCGTCCACATTAAAGGTTGTCCCCTTCTCTGACAGAAGCCTGCATTAAAGGCAACCTGATGGCTCCCAAACCTTCCCATGGAGCTGTAGAAACCTGTGATGATGGGAACATGACATCTAACGTGGCTTCTCCCGTCCAGCCTGGAACCAGTGTCACCCTCTCCTGCCAGCTGAATCCCCTGCAACACACCGGGCTCTGCAGGACCGTTATTTTCCTTAACAGCTCTGAACTAATTAGAAGTTACAGCCGTGCAGTGAGCACCACCTTTCTAGTCCCTACATACGGCAAACACCAGTTCACGTGCAAAGTAGTTTGCGAACAGAAGAAAAAGCTCATTTGTGGAATCGAGATAGAATCTGGAAGTAAGGAGGATTTAACTATTTCGTGTTCTTCAGCGTTTCCTGCGGTACCTCTGAAACGCGTGTTAGAAACCAGCAGTGGGTGGCTTTTTTCATAAGAGGTGCTGTCTTCTAGTGACTCTTTGTATTTAAAATACTCCTGGCTGGGACTGTGCATCTCTGTTATCGATGCTAAATAAAACCTCCTGCTCAGAGCAAACGTCATACTTTTCTGCTCTACCCCTGACAGTCTCTCCAGGACACAGGGGACTTGCAAGAAAAATCCTAAATTTTAGGTTTTCTTCCAGCCTGACGAGCTGCTGATCCCGTGCAGTTACTAATCGCCCTGCCTGTTTGTGAGGCTGAGGCCCCACAGCAAGGATTTCAGGCCCCAAAACCATCTGGATTTAAATAAAGCAAGGTGTTAATAGGCATTTTGGCAAAGCTTATGTATTTCACCTTCACCTCAGACATCAGCACTCGAAAAACACAGAACGGATCCCACCTCGTTATATAACAACAACCTGAAATAACTTTTGGGGATGTTTTTATATGAATATACATACAGGAAAGGATGTTTTTATATTAATATACATCTAGGGCAATGCATTACCATAGAAGTGCCCCACCGTCCAAGCTGGCATAAAAATCAGTCTGGATTTAAAGTTTTACCTTAAAATTTGTTTCCCATCCGGCAGGTACCATGTTATTAAAATAGTGATGTCTCTGTGGCAGGTTGGGACTTACAGAAAGTGCTGGTTGGTCTATTCGCCTCGAAGCATCCAATGTATTCTCACAGCTCCTGTAGTTCTGCAGGGACAGGCTAAAAAAAAAAAAATTAAAAAAAAGGGAAATAGTTGTTAATGCAGATTGCAAACTGTGCGGGAAAATATTGAGTTTAGTTCAGGCTGAGCCTGAATAATTTGTGTAAAATGTTTGTACTCGAAACTCCTGGTACCGGAGTGTGGGTTTTATCTCTTTTAAGTCTAGAGATGGCACAGGTTGGGATTCAAAGAGAATTTCTGAGCAATCCTGTGGAGTTTGAAATGTTTGGAAGCAGGTTTGTTTGGCTGGGCCGTTGGCAGGGTGCTTGCTGCAGCTTCATCCGTCGGGGCAGAGTCAATTAGTTAATTAGGAACAAGCTGTGTGGGATGGGCATTCCTTTGGGAATCTAAAGAAATTGTAAGATTGCCAGTTCCCGAGGGTCTTACCCAAAATTTTATGTGTAATACTCAGGTCTGGGAACCTTGAAGTTGTGTTAGTCATTTGGGATGGGATCAGCGCGTTTGGGCTTGGGGTCACCTGGAGGGAGTGGGAGCACAGACCTGATGAAGAGCAGAGGAGGGTCCTCCTGGGGGGCAGGAATGGGGCAGAGAGGATGGAAACTGGAGTTTGGGGTGAAACCAGAGCCTGGGGAGAAACCAGAGCTCGGGGAGAAAGAGGCAAGGTGAGGGGTGCTGAGGGTTTGCTCTTGTCCTTCACAGACAGTCTTTTTTCATCCTGGGCTTTGGGAAAGAAGGGGGCAAATATGCGTTTTTCTGAAGCAGAGAGTTGCCTGGTTTTAAAGCAGGGGGTTCTGAAACGCTCTGCCCTTCCCCTGCCTCCAGGGAGAACCAGCTAAAAATCAGCTGCTGCAGGGGGAAGGGTCTCACAGCCACAGCTCAGCAGCGTCAGCGGGGAGCGTTCGCTCGACAGGTCTCAGGAAATAAGCGTTTCGGATTTTCTGAAGCTGTAAAACAGCAAAATACAAAAAAAAAAAATCTGTAAGTTATTATTTCCACTTTTCAGCAACCGGTGAAAGGCATTCCTTTCTCTCTAGGGAGAAAAATGCTATTGGCATGGACGGTGCCGGCAGCAGTTTGGTTGTTGGTGCACTTCACAGCAGGTAAGAGACCTTTGGGTTTTTTTCCTACGTAGCATTTTATCACTTAGAAGAAGCACTCGGGATAATTAGTGGGGTTTTCCTCAGCGTCTGTGTGGGGTGCTAGCAGACATCTTTCTTATTAGAGAGAGGAAAATCTGACGCTCGATTGGGGTTTATGGTGTGATTTCTGTAAGAATGCCTCGATCTGCTGCCGGAGCTGAGTCTCCTGCTTGTCCCCACACCGTGGCTCTGCCCACAGCTGGGCTGGTAGCCCAGAAACCCCCCCACCCTGGGCTGCATCCCCAGCCCCGTGGCCAGCAGGGCTGGGGGGGATTCTGCCCCTCTGCTCTGCTCTGGGGAGACCTCCCCCAAACTCTGGGGCCACCACCATCAGAAGGACATGGAGCTGCTGGAGCAGGGCCAGAGGAGGCCATGGAGATGCTGGGAGGGCTGGAGCCCCTCTGCTGGGAGGACAGGCTGAGAGAGTTGGGGGGGTTCAGCCTGGAGAAGAGAAGGCTCCGGGGAGACCTTCCAGCCCCTTCCAGTCCCTCAAGAAGGGGGGCTCCAGGAAAGCTGGGGAGGGACTCTGGATGAGGGAGGGGAGCCCTAGGAGGAGGGGGAAGGGTTGGACCCGGAAAGAGGGGAGATGGAGCTGAGCTGTGGGGAAGAACTTGTTTGGTGGGAGGGTGGTGAGAGCCTGGCCCGGGTTGGCCAGAGAAGCTGTGGCTGCCCCATCCCTGGGGGGGTTCAAGGGCAGGTTGGAGGGGGCTTGGAGCAACCTGGTGTGGTGGGAGGTGTCCCTGCCCAGGGCAGGGGGTGGCACTGGGGGGGCTTTAAGGTCCCTTCCCACCCAAACCATTCTGTGATTCTACAGTTCTCTGCGTCCACATTAAAGGTTGTCCCCTTCTCTGACAGAAGCCTGCATTAAAGGCAACCTGATGGCTCCCAAACCTTCCCATGGAGCTGTAGAAACCTGTGATGATGGGAACATGACATCTAACGTGGCTTCTCCCGTCCAGCCTGGAACCAGTGTCACCCTCTCCTGCCAGCTGAATCCCCTGCAACACACCGGGCTCTGCAGGACCGTTATTTTCCTTAACAGCTCTGAACTAATTAGAAGTTACAGCCGTGCAGTGAGCACCACCTTTCTAGTCCCTACATACGGCAAACACCAGTTCACGTGCAAAGTAGTTTGCGAACAGAAGAAAAAGCTCATTTGTGGAATCGAGATAGAATCTGGAAGTAAGGAGGATTTAACTATTTCGTGTTCTTCAGCGTTTCCTGCGGTACCTCTGAAACGCGTGTTAGAAACCAGCAGTGGGTGGCTTTTTTCATAAGAGGTGCTGTCTTCTAGTGACTCTTTGTATTTAAAATACTCCTGGCTGGGACTGTGCATCTCTGTTATCGATGCTAAATAAAACCTCCTGCTCAGAGCAAACGTCATACTTTTCTGCTCTACCCCTGACAGTCTCTCCAGGACACAGGGGACTTGCAAGAAAAATCCTAAATTTTAGGTTTTCTTCCAGCCTGACGAGCTGCTGCTGCTGCAGTCGTCTGCTGCATCAGTGCTGCCTCTGCTGCAGTCGTCTGCTGCATCAGTGCTGCCCCTTTTTTTTTCTTGTTTAAATAAAAATAATGGTTGATTTCTTCAAGCAAAGCTTCTGTTGCCCAGTCTGGAGAGCCACTCAGCACTTGCATTTGTCTGATACCCTTGTAAAGTCACTGGGGTTTCACTCAAGTCTCAGAGGTCTCCACAGGCTGCTGAGATCACAGAGTTGTCCCATATAAAAATAATTTGCGGGAACATTTTGCCTAGAAATTCTTTAAAAAACCCAAAATGATCAAAAAGCCAAACCTAGCAGATCTTAAAAGAAAAAAAAAAAAAAAGGCCAGAAAGTGATACGAATATCTGTTTAAGATCCTCCAGATGAGCCCAGAAATGTGTCATGTATCCAGAATGGGACAGATGGCCATCCCACCTGCACCTGGGATAAAGGAAGGCTCACCTACATCAGCACCACATATGTAATACAGTAAGTAACACGGTGACATGGGTTCTTTAATACCTATAATTGTATCTTAGAGTTGTGGGTTTGGGGGTTTTTTTCATTTTTTACACTGTTTGTTGAATATTTGTCCATATCAAAGCACACGGGAGAGCTGGTTTATGACCAACCAAGTAACAAGTGATGGGACAAGAGGAAACAGCCTCAAATTGCCCCAGGGGAGGTTTAGGATGGAGATTGGGAACAATTTCTTCCCGAAAGGGTTGTGAAGCCTTGGCAGAGGCTGCCCAGGGCAGTGGTGGAATCACCATCCCTGGAGGGATTTCAAAGCCGGGCAGAGGTGGTGCTGAGGGACATGGGTCAGTGGGGGTTTGGGCAGTGCTGGGATGGTGATTGGACTCCATGGTCTGAAAGGTCCCTTCCAAGGTGGATCTCACAGTGATTCTGGTTAGCAGCACCAGCACCAGAAATCCTGTGATCCAAGCTGCTCGGAGTCGAGCTAAGGAGATGGAGAGATACTTTGCTTGGAAATGTGGTTTTTTTTTGCTTCCTGCCTTAGTCCCAGCCTCTATTTTTGCTCGCTCTGGTTTTGCTGAGCCTTTGCTGAAAAAGATCATGGTGACTTCTGCAGCAAACTGTGGGGAAGGGGCAAATGCTCCCTAGAGCCCCCCAAGGCGTTTTAGGAGACCTTGGATTTGAGGAGTCACCATGCATAGGAGGAACCTTATTAAAGACCTCTATTGAAGCAAGCATCTCGGTAGAATTAATTAGTTTTGCCCTTTGCAAACCAGTGGGTCCCCACTTACTTCCAAGGTGTTGCATGTTGACCATCTCCTTGCCGTGCAAGCTACTCTTCATCACCTTCTCCTTCACCTTCTCCTTCTGTTGGCCAAGGCAGCAGCAACTTTCTCAGCAGCCTGTAGAAACCTGTCACTGCTCTTTAAGCAGAAGGAGAATAAAGGGGTAATTTGCAGAAGAGCAGGGAAGGGTGGTGTAACACAGAGATATGGCAGTGCTTGCTGGTGAGTTATTAAATATATTACAAAATACAAAAGGTCAGCCTGAAGCAACATGGTAAAACCACCTCTGGTTCAGGTGGAAGAAAATACACAGAGGAGCTAAATGAGCTCACCCAGGCAATGGGTTGAACGACACCAGGAATTAAAAGTTGTGTTTGAAGTCATGCACTCCAACCATTAGACTGCAGATAAATTACGTATTTAATCACTAAGTTATATTAGAAAAAACCCAACCCCCCCAAAATCTGTCATTCCCCCAAATTCTGTGTGGCAACACTAAGGTTCATTCACAGAGAAACATTAATCATTACATTATTAAAAGGAACCTCCTCACACACTTTGCAGCTCAGTGGAAATCCGAAACTATTTCCTTCGTCTACAATTAAAACCAAAAAGAGGTGTAACACCTTCACAGCCGGTTTGGCTAGAGGAGTGTTTCCTGTAACCACCGTATTTAAGCAGATTTTTTTTCAAGGGGCCCATAACCTGCCTGTTTTTTGGTGCAGAAATCATCCCTTGAAGTCTGTCTGGTGGGGGAGATGCTGGAAGAGCCCCCAAGGGACCCGAAGCAGCACAACTCTACAGGGACCTGCGCCGTGCCCCGAGTCACCCAGGATTTAGCTTTCTTGGTGTACAGGAGGCTATTAACCGAGGATTTTTTCCTTCTCTTCCAGGCTGTCAAATGGGACAGATGTCTTCTGTGCCTCAGAAAAAAGTTCGGGTGGGAAGTCTGGCTCACTGGCTCTGAGCAAGCTGAATTTTGACTCTACCTACACCCTTGTGGTGGCTGCCTCCAACGAGCTAGGAAATGCTTCTTCAGAGCCCCTCGTCTTCATGCTGATAGACATAGGTAAATGCACGACACCACCTTCCAGTGAGCCCCAGCCCTTTACAGAATCACAGAATCTTATAGGTTGGAAGGGACCTTAAAGATCATTCTTGGCCAACCATCAACCTAACTGACAAAAACAGACACCCGCACAACAAACACGAAGCATCACCATCACTAAACCATACCTCCCAGCACTACATCAACCTGTCTTTAGAAAGACATGAAGAAGTTTAAACAAGAAAGTGTTTAAACCTCTCAGAAAAAGCATATCCATCCAGTCTAACCCCATAATTGCTTCCCATGTAACCCCCCTCACCCCGTTCCGAGCTGTGCTGCAGACCTGAGCACCGTTTGCTTTCTTTCTGATTTTTTTTTTTTATTTTCACTGCCAGTCAAACCACATCTTCGCAACTTTTCGGTGGAATTTGAAAATTCTGTGACCAACTGCAGCCTTTCCTGGCACGCCGAAGCAGGAGCACGGCACTGCCGGCTGCGGTACCGACCGCTCACCCGGCACACCTGGAACACGGTAATCCTCCTCTGAACAAAAGGGAATCACCATCCCCAGAAGTTGCTTAAATATCATTATTTCTTACTAGAATCCAATGTCCAAAATTGCCTTTCTCTGCTCGTTATCGCCGTATCTAAGAAAAACTATTGCCTACTGGTCAAAAACGATCATTGGTCTAAAAGTGAATGAAGGTAAAACACTGATCCTGTGAAAAAAGCAGATTAATGAATATTTCCCCTTGCATCCGATGTCTGTGTGATGGGCTGAAGGGTCAGAGGTTGCTTTTGACCCACCACTTTACTGGAATACGGTCATATTTGCTCCTTGTAGCTCACAGCTATAGGTGCAAATTCCAAATCTTTTTGCTTTCCCCAGTGCCGATTGGAAATCTTCGGTCTTATTTTAAGTGGTAAAAGAAACGTATTGCTTGAAGTTGAGCAAAACACGCGAACAGAAAGTTTGTTATCGTTGCGTAATTAAATGAGGGGTTTTTTTTCCTGATGAAGAACTGCAAGCCTGATGATTCGTTGCATCATTCTTTGAGTGATTAAAGTTGCCTCAGCTCAGGGGTTTCCCCGTTGGTTTTAAAGACGTGGTTTAGGTGGATGGGCTTCCTTCGGGCATTAATAACACAGCCTGTCACTGCCTTCAACCTTTATTTCCCCATGAGTCTGACATTATACATCCTTTGTCTTCGTTAAAGGTGGAAAGCTTAAGCGGCGAGAAGTGCAGTCTTTATGGTCTGGAGCCTCACACAGACTACGAGTTCCACCTCAGCTGTAAAATCCACCCCGAGAGAGGGCTGTGGAGCAACTGGAACATCTACCAGACCCGGACTCCTGAAGCAGGTACCTCCTCCTGCAGGAAACCCGTGTCTAACCTCTGCCTACGTGTGGAAACTTCTAGCTAATGAGCTCAAAACGCTGCCGGGTGTTTGCCGCTTGGTTTGCGGCGTCTCCTTAGATCCCGACGCAGCGCCAAGGGGGAAGCAACTTCTGGAAAAGGATTGCTTTTTTTTTTTTTTAATGAACAAAAAATTAAGCTGTCTGAGTTTCTTGCAAAACAGGAATTTCAAGAGTTGACTGAGAAGGTCTGAAGGTTGGTTTTTTTTGTTGGTTTCTTTTTTGATGGAGGAGGTTGGGGAGAATTTTGCCCGGAGCCATAGCAGCCTCCGCATGGTGGCACAGCTGGAAAAGGCAGAGAGGGTTTGTGCAGCTCAGCCAGGGAAAGGAAAACCTTCTGTGTTGGCTCATATCTAGGCGTTTCACTGAATTCCTCCAACAACCCTGTGCTCAGGTTGGGACGGCTGCCACGTCACCCTCTGGTGCTGATGCACCACTGCTTGGGTGACACGCTCTGGGTCCTTAAGCTCGCCCAACAGTTTGCTGAGAAGTTGGGTGAACTGGGCAGGGAACTGCCTGGGCTCTCTCCCTTCTGCTGATGCTGGCAAGTTATAACAAAATAATTTAATTTTGCCAAGTCATTTTTTTTCCCCAAGTAGAGAAATTACCTCACTTGGAGACACCTCCACCATGCCCTGGAGCTGCTGGAGACCTGGGGAGCTTCAGCAGAGCAGAACCTGCCAGGCCACTCGGGAGAGAGAGATTCCCACCAGGGATTCAGTGAGCAAAAAGCATATTTCGGGGACAGATGGCACCAACCTGAGGGTGATCGTGTTAGCTCCTGCCACCGTTCATATTGGCAACCTCAGCTCCACAAACTCCCATGCTGCAAAACCTGCATTTCTGATGAGAAAAAAAAAAAAAAGCTTCTCAGAAGTTTGTGTTTCAACAAAGATGTGTCAGCTGCTTTGGCATCCCCTCCTTTCATCTCCTGCTTGGCTTTCGTTGCTCTTTTTTTGTGAATTACTATAAGCTCTTCAGGCTAGTGCTGTTATTACTCATGCTATTTACCACTACTGACAGCATCAGTTTCTGTAAGAAGCATTGATTGATGCAAAAGGTGTGAACTTTTCCTTCCCTCCCCCACCTTCCTCTCAACAGTTTTCTCCACCTTCTCGCTGCACCCCAAGTTGCTGCAGCCTTTGTGGTCACCACCCCTCTCCCCACTGGCTGTTATAGAATGAGAACCTTTTCAGCAAACCAAGGAGCGTTTTCTGTCCCCAGATCAGGTGACAGCAAGAGGTTGCAGATGAGAAGCTCTGGGGGCCTCATGGTTGCCCTACTTTGAAGGACCTGAAGTTCTAGCTTCCAGAGGAGGCCCTGGAGATGCTGGGAGGGCTGGAGCCCCTCTGCTGGGAGGGGGGGCTGAGAGAGTTGGGGGGGG